AAAAAAAAAAATAAAATAAAAAATAAATAATGAACATTAAAAAATATTAAAAAAACACTTTTTTTCCATGACTGTAAGACATCTATCTGCCTTCAGGTATTATATGTATCATTCATGGTAAATTTACAAAGTCCCTAAAAAGCATATTTTCAGAAGTAAATTGTATTGCTGTGGAATGTCAAAAAGACTTACTGTGATTGAAGGAAATTGACAATTAGATGGATAACAATAAGATACAGGGTTAACAGAAGATTATCAAGAGGGTGGATAAATTCTTGCCTTACCTTCTAAATCATGCAATGACTTTGGTCAAAATCTCAGAACTTTTAAAACCTGTTCCATCACTTTGCGGTTATCATACTGTCTTCACCCTAACTGCATCCTTGCTCTATTGGTCAAGGAGTTGTGGGAGTCAGGAGCCAGGATTCTGCATTCTCATTTTGCTTTAATTACATTTAAAGGCTAACCCAGGGAATACTACCAAAATGTAGATAAAAAGGAAATTGGTTCATTGGAACATCTGTTTGAGTAGTTAGTTACCCAGCTTACTACTGACTAATTTTCTTTTCTGTTGAATGGGACGAAAAGAATAGTTACTAAATACTTGATGTGAGCTTTTTTTCTTGGTAGTTTTTGCATTTTGGGGTGAGTAATTTTTCTCAAATCAGAATGCATGAGAAAAATCTAGTTGATGAGTGGTTCCTAGTTGTTGGGCCCTTGTTAATCAGAACTTTTACTGTACAATCGTAATGTATTTTGGATGTTCTCATTTATATTATTTCTCGAACTGTCTGCGTTGGTTATTCTGACTACTTGGTTACATCTATCTAGCATAGTGGTATTTTAAAACAGCATTTATAATAAAAATTCCTCCATCTTAGCAAGTAAAATGAGAATATGGAAAGACAGTTGATAGTTGAAATACGATTGTTTTCTTTTGACTTAGCATTTAGTGAGTTGCAGGTTTGGGATAAAGAGAAATGAATATGGTAGTTGCTGTGGTAGTTTATTGAGCTGGAGACCAACAGCATGTGGAGATGTGGGCCTGCAGTCACATTCCCTTCTTATAGAGAAGCTCCACTTTTCACGTGTTCTATCTACATTTTGGGGTTCCACAAAAGATTTTTTTTTTAATTAAGAAAAGTTTGTCCTATTACAACTAAATACAAACATTTGATGGAGAGGTACTTTATGATCATCTGTTTTGGCTGAAAAGGTTTCTTACCTAGCATTATGCCATTTGTAACTGGTAATTGTAGGTATTTGGGTTCCTGTGATGTATTTTAGGGTCCCTGTGGACCTTGCTGTCATACTATTCTCATGTTCTCTTTTTATCAGGACTTGTGGTTAACAGATAACTGATAGTTGTGATATTCAGCTTGATGTTTTACATTATTTTATTTAATCCTTCAACCAGACTTGCAAGGTGGTGGCTATTCCTATTATCACACAAAGAAAAGGAGGCTTTATTATTTTAGAATCTAAAAATTCCCTTCTGTCTTGTTTTTGGGCATGAGGGAAAGTATACATCCTGAGTTTAAAAGCATCAGCTTTTCTATGCATTTTATCTGAGTGATTTCATCTGCAACTTTCAATTCCTTCCTTCATTTAATGCCTTTGAAACTCCGTATCTCAGCCTGGACTCGTCTTAGAGCCTCTAGACCTCTCTGTCAGCTTTCTGAACACTATCTCATTGACCTCTCAGTTTAGCATGTGCAAAATTTAAGTCATCGTATGTCCTAATTATTTATCTCTTTGTACATTCCTTTTGTTGATTCCCTGTTCTCCTTCCACCTTCTGCTGTGGGTGTGTGTAATCTTCTTGGTTCATAATGACCGAGAGGCCAATCCAAGCAACACACTGCAGTAACCACTCTGGATAATACAGGGAGAATGAAGCTCCCCCAAGCCAAGTCTTTTTAGGTGCCAAGGCCAATAGATAGAATGTGAGACATAAAATACAAGGTGTATTCTTTATACCGACCCAACCAAAGATCACTGGAGAATCGATAGGCACCTTACCCAGATGGTGCCCAGCATACAATCTGGTTTTCCTTTTTTTCATGTTTAATCTTCATTCTTTACCCAATAACCTCATTCTTTACTTCAGCAAGGCTCACCTTTACTTCTGTAAACCATGCTCTGTAGTGGCACTAATAACTACATCATATTTTGTTCTGTCCCTAATTAGTTCATTAGCAAAATTCACCAGCATTTTGTTCATTATAATACCACAAACACAGAGGGGGTAGATCTATTGCTGGGGAACTAAATATGAGTTATACAGAACAGTTTTTGTTGAAACTGTAACTCTACCTGGTAAATTCCCACTGTATTCTTGACTCATTTCTTATAGTCAGAAAGATGTAAACATTCTCTACTTTCTTTTGTCTATTTCCCTGAGGTGTCAGTGATCTCGTTCCCTTGAGTTAGCGGATATCCTGTGGTTTTCATCCATGTTGTCTCCTGTGTTTAGCTCTAAGCCTGGCACAGAGTTGGTATTTAATAAAAGTGGATATTTGTGTTGAACTGGGCAGTGTGCTGCAGGGTTTAGAGAATACAAAGGTTTATAAGGTGTTTTAAAGGTGAACCTACTGTTTAGGTTAGGTGGCAGCATACTATATATAAAAAATAACACCACAGCCGTGGCTGTTCCAGAGAATACTGTTAACATCAAGCAGGAACTCTTCTTTGTTATTTTTCTTTGACCCGACTTTGTTTTCTATATCTTTGTGTACTTTAACTATATACGACATTATATATTTTAATATATTGGCTCAAATGCTTGCTTTTATGTTGTTTTGGGTGGGTAAAGGATTAGTAAATATATGTATGGGTTTTTCTTTTTATAAGGTTGTGACTCTGTATCAAGCACTGTATTGTTTTTCTTATAAAATTTGACTTGTATTTCTTCACAGGCAGCAGAAGATGTCATTTTCATTGGACCTGACACACATGCCATTCAAGCCATGGGTGACAAGATTGAAAGCAAATTATTAGCTAAGAAAGCAAAGGTTAACACAATCCCTGGCTTTGATGGAGTGGTCAAGGTGAGAAACTGTTTTACTGAAATATACATGTCCTTGAGTCAAATATTTTGTCAAAAGTGTAAGATAAAATGCACTTACTGCTTTTATAGAATATATATGTGTAGGTTAAAATAAATCAGTATTGTTGACCCTGGTTTATTTTATTTTTTAAAAATGTTTTATTTTTAAGTAATCTCTACATCCACCATGGGGCCCGAACTTAGAACCCCAAGATCAAGAGTCACCTTGCTCTACCAACTGAGTCATCCAGGCACCGCTGGATTGTTTTAAATGGCATAAGTTCGGGGTGCCTGGGTGGCTCAATCAGTTAAGTGTCCGACTTCGGCTCAGGTCATGATCTCGCTGTCCGTGGGTTCGAGCCCCGCGTCGGGCTCTGTGCTGACAGCTCAGAGCCTGGAGCCTGTTTCGGATTCTGTGTCTCCCTCTTTCTCTGACCCTCCCCTGTTCATGCTCTCTCTCTCTCTCTCTGTCTAAAAAATAAATAAATGTGAAAACAAAATAATAAATGGCATAAGTTAAAAGGAGCAAGAAGCCACTTATGCATTGTATTTCACGATCAATGTTTTTTAAACTGAAGTATTGTTGACACACAGTGTTACATTAGTTTCAGGTGTACAACATAGTGATTCGCCAACTCTATACATTATGCTGTGCTCACTACAGTGTAGCTACCACCTGTCACCATACAGTGCTATTACAGTACCATTGACTATATCCCCTGTGCTGTACCTTTTATCTCTGTGACTTATTCTATATGTGGAGGCCTGTACTTCCCATACCCCTTCAACCACTTACCCATATCTTAACCCCTTTCCCTTTTGGCCACTATCAGTTTATTCTTTGTGTTTATGGGTATGAATTTATTTTTTGTTTTTTTTTTCAGATTCCACATATAAATGAAATCATATGGTATATCTTTTTCTCTGATTTATTTCACTTAGCATCAAAGGTCTATCCATGTTGTTGCAAATGGCAGGATCTAATTTTTTTTTTAAAGCTGAGTAATACTCCAGTATGTGTATATGTATGTGTATATGTGTGTGTATGTGCACGCACGTCACCCCTTCTTTATCCATTTGCCTATCTACGGACACTTGGGCTGCTTCTATATCTTGGCTATTGTAAATAATGCTACAGTAAACATAAGGGTGCATATATCTTTTTGAATTCATGATTTTGTTTTGTTTGGGTAAATACCCAGTAGTGGAATCACTGTATCATAGGATATTTCACTTCTTTAAATTTTTATTTATTTATTTTGAGAGAGAGAGTGAGCATGAGCAAGGGTGGGGCAGAGGGAGAGAGGGAGGGAGAGAGATTCCCAATTAGGCTCTGCATTGTCAGTGGGGCTCGAACTCATGAACTGTGAGATCATGACCTGAGCTGAAATCAAGAGCTGGACACTTAACTGACTGAGCCAGCCAGGCACCCCTCCATTTTTAATATTTTAAGGAACTTCCATATTGTTTTTTTGCAGTGACTACACCAATTTACATTCCCACCAACAGTGCATGAGGGTTCTTTTTCCTTGATGTCCTCTCCAACACCTGTTATTGCTTTTTGAAACTTTAAGTTTACTTATTTATTTTGAGAGAGAGTGCACGTGTGCGCATGAGCTGGGGAGGGGTAGAGAGAGAGTGGGAGAGAGAATCCCAAGCAGGCTCTGTGTTGTCAGCATAGAGCTCAACTTAGGGCTTGCAGTCACAAACTAGAAGATCATGACCTGAGCTGAAATCAAGAATCAGATGCTTTACCGACTAAGCCACTATTTTCTTGTCTTTTTGAGTCTAGCTGTGCTGACAGGTGTGAGGTGATATCTTATTGTGGTTTTGATTTGCATTTCCCTGATCATTAGTGATGTTGGCCATCTTTTCATGTGTCTGTTGGCCATCTGTATTGTTTTTTTTGTTTTTGTTTTTTTTGAAAAGTGCCTATTCGGGTCTTCTGCCCATTTTTAATCAGATTATTTGTTTTTTGGTGTTGAGTTTTGTAAGTTCTTTATGTATTTTGGATATTAACCCCTTATTGGATATGTCATTTGCAGATATCTTCTCTTGTTTAGTCATGAGCAGTATTGGCTTATAATTTAATAGGAAAAATCTTGGTGATTTAAAAATGTTCTCTTAGATCTCTGGATTTCATTTAATGATGATATGTGTTTAATGTTTGAAGGATTATCATGTTCTCTGTGTATCTTTATGTTGAGTTTCTGTCCATATGCATAACACATAAATTATAAATGTGTTTCTGGTAGAAAGTGATACAGCTATGGATGATCATAGATCCTAAACATAATTCCTCAGTAAGCAGCTTCAACAGCTGAAGGTTTCTAAGAAATGCAGAAATTGAAGTGAGTGGGTTTGTGTGTGTGTGTATGCATGTGTTTCCCGGGGAAAAGTTACTCTCTGTCTATATATAGTTTTTTTTTTTTTTTTCCCTCCCTGATTAGAAGAGTGTCCCTATGTAGGCTTTAATCTGTGATTTGAGTTAATCTATAAAAACTTAAAATTTTAGTGTTAACTATGGTTAGTTTTTGGGCTGGACAATTCTTTATTGTGCAGGAACCTTTCATGTGTTACAGGACAGTTAACAAGCTTGGCCCTTATTAATATCCTCCACTTCTTGCCCATGTTTACCTTAATCTGTATTCATCCTTTATTTGTTTGTTTTGTTTTTTTGTTATAAGGAAGAGGTATTGTTATCCTCAGTAGAGCCGGTTCTTCCTGTCAGGCTCTAGATGTATCCCTTATAGACTTCATGGGCTATAGTTTTTACTGATTATCTTTTCCCTCTTCCATATCTTAAAACTTGTCTTTCAGCAACTTCCTATTGCCCTTGCTGTTAAAAATCCTCAGTCAACAAATGTACTGATCCCAGGCTAACCGGGAAGCAGGTGGTGATAAACACAATACCCATGATCCCTCACCACTGCTTCCAGTTTAGTGGAAAGAAATGTGTTCCTCTGCCTCCTGGAGCACAGTAACCCCCTGCCCCTTCACAGCTGTCACCTTAGTTATCTCTACCCTTTCACAGCCACACATCTTAGAAGAATTGTCCTCACTTGCTTTCATTTCTACACTTTTCACTCAGTCTTTAATCTGCCATAGTTTGGCTTCTTTCCTCATTCCCATTGAACTTTCTCTTGCCAAGGCTACCAGCAACCTCTCCTTTTCACTAAATTCAGTTTATAATTTGTAATCCTGATCTTCTCACTATCTTTTTGAAGCATTTGAGTCTCTTGATCATATTCTCCTTCTCAAAATATTCCCTTTTGACACACTACTCATTCTGGTTTTGTTTTTGTATTTTTTAGCGTATTTTGAATGCTTATTCTTAGTTTTCATGCTGATTGTTCTTCCTATGTTTGTTCTGTAAATGTTGGTTTTATTTTGGGTTCTTAGAAGGAAATTTTTTATTACTGTACATACTTGCCCTGGGGCAGTCTTACATCTGGAACCTGTCTGTATCTGTGCTAGCTCTCTCTGGAACTTCAAACTACATTTGCAGGTGCTTCTGAAACAGTTCTGCTCGATGCCTCTGAGGTACCTTGATAGTAACAGGTTGAAAGCTCAGCTCAGAATTTTCTCTCTAACCAGTGATTGGCGAGCTATGGCTCTGGCACACCTGATTATAAATAAAGTGTTATTGGAACACAGCCGTGCTCATTCCTTTACATATTGCCAATGGCTGCTTTTTCACTATAATGACTGAGTTCAGTAATTGTGACAGACTATGTCACCCACCAAATCTGAAATATTTACTGCCTAGCCCATTACTAAAATGTTTGCAGACTCTTGCTGTAAACTTCTTAACCTGATTCTTTTATGCCTGGGAAAGTGGTGGTGGTTTCCACATCTTTCCTCAAGCTAGACATGTGGAGTCATTCTTGATAAATACCACTACAGAGAATTCATCTATTGGTCTTTCTGATCCATTTACTTCTTTCTTTGCTCATGCTAACCCCAAGTTCCAGTTACCATCATCTAATCTGGATTACTTTGTCAACATTCTAATTCGTCTCTTTGTAGCCATTCTTGGTCCCATCTAATATATTTTCAACACTGGGGGCTTGAGAGAGCTTGCAGAAATCCAAATTCAGCTATATGACTGTGTTTAAAAACTTGTGAATGGCTTCTCATTTAAATCCTTTTAATAGCTGGCCTTGGTTTCTCTCTTCAGACTGATAGCGTGCCAGTTCACCCTTTACATTGTGTAGACTAGCCATGTAAGACACCTTTCTGGTTCTTGAAACTTCTGTGCTAAATTCTGTCGTGTGTGTTGATTCTGCTTCTGTCTTCATTCTTGATGGTCTCCACATTGTTTAGGTGTTGGCTTAAACATACATTCGTCACAAAGACATCCCTTGACTGTCTAAATTAGATTAAGGCCCCTGCTATCTTTTCTTAGTACCCCACACTTCTCCCATCACATTTTATTTTATTTACTTAAAAACATTCATGTATTTATTGATTTTGTGAGAGAGCACACACGTATGTGTGCATGAGTAGGGGAAGGGAGGAGAGAGAGATAGAGAAGGAGGGAGAGAATCCCAAGCAGGCTCTACATTGTCAGTGGAATGCGGGGTTTGATGTCATGAACTGTGAGATCGTGACCTGAGCTGAAACCAAGAGTCGGATGCTTAACTGGCTGAGTCACCCAGGTGCCCCTGCCCGTCACATTTTAAATCATGCATTCATTCATCTACTAAGTATTTAAGTGCACACTGTTTGTCTAGCATTATTTGAAGTGCTATGGATATTGCCATGAACAACAGCAATAAAAAACTTCTGCCCTCATGGAGGTTATACTATAGAAGAAGTAGACAGACAATAAACAAATAATAAACAGTACATGCTATGGTGAAACATAAGACAGGGAATGAGAAGAGGAAATGCTGGGGAGCGGGTGAATCTATTGACAATTTTAAATCGCTTTAGCAAGCCATCTAAAGGGCTGACAGGGCAAGTCATGTGGCTAGCAGCAGGAAGAGCAGAGCATAC